CTTGCTACAGAACTTATAGCCAAGAAGTTGCTCTATCTGAAGGGAAAAAAGAAAATGCTTGGTAATGCTTTCTACATGATAGAGAAAACAAAATAAAAACGTAACGGGTTGACTTCTTTTTCGGTATTTCTTTTGCGAGGGTTTATGTGATCGATAGCATCGGGTAATGTGACAGCTAAAATCTCATTTGTAAGGAAATATATACAATCAAGTGTTCTCTACTCAATTCAGCCAAAACTAAATTCAAAAGAATGTTTTAAGTTGGTGTAAGACCGCTCTGGCAAAGAAGTCTAAAAGAAATCACACAAAATTTATTCCATCTGTAAAACGCTTTTCTTGACGTTAGTTCTTAATAGGAAATAGTGCATTTTGTAGAGAATTTGATTCTCTATCTTCTCACATTGCTTTTAAAGTTTTATCAATTACTATGTGGGTAAGAAAAGTAAAATTTAAAGTTTTGCATTCAAAGTTCAAGTTTTATTCTTTTTAAAGTTGATATTCGTCATCAACGCAAACAATTGCATCTAACAGTGTTTTTTATCAGTTATCTCAGAGAAAAAGTCGTCTCCATACTCGATAACTCCGAGAAACTTTTACGCAGACAGACTCTAGCGTCTATATTCATATTCAGTGTATTAATATACACATCAGAGCTCCGTAAAGGTTGGACTGGACTCATGTACTTGGACTAAAATGAATTCAAACAATGGAAATTTTGTAGAGAATCAAATTCTCTACAAAATGCACTATTTCCTATTAAGAACTAACGTCAAGAAAAGCGTTTTACAGATGGAATAAATTTTGTGTGATTTCTTTTAGAGTTCTTTGCCGGAGCGGTCTTACACCAACTTAAAACATTCTTTTGAATTTAGTTTTGGCTGAATTCAGTAGAGAACACTTGATTGTATATATTTCCTTACAAATGAGATTTTAGCTGTCACATTACCCGATGCTATCGATCACATAAACCCTCGCAGATAAATATGTGTAAAAAGTATCAAACGCAGAAAAATTGAATATGAACAGTAATAAAACATACAACATAAAAGAAAAATAGGATTTGTTCTCATATTTCGCTTTTTGCGGTATTCTTTGCTACCACTGACGATTCCAGGTTTTCTCGTGTTTCTCTTGGTTTTAACATTTTACCTAACTTTGTTTCATACAATTTGGATCTATAAAATTGTGATGATACAACATAGAGGAAATAACCAATAATTTGTGGTGTATATGATAAAAAATAAGCCACTATTAACGGATATCTTAGCCATGATGTTGTTAATCCTGTACATGCTAAACTAAAGGAAATAATTAATTGTGGTAATGAACTTAATATAATTGTAATGGACGGTATAAAACGATCTTTATGTTCATAAAAATATTTTTTAACTAATTTTAATTTTGTCTGGTTTTGCATGGCACTTGAACGATTTTGTGCAATCAATATAATGAGTATGAACGTTGAAATAAAATTAATTAAAAATGGTATTACATAATGAATAAAGACGGTAATTTGATTGTATATAGACCAAAAAGAACTGTAATGACTAACACACCATGTACCTTAAAATAGAGAGAAAACAATTCAATCAAAACAAATTCAGAAGAGAACGATATTTGACAAACCAAATTCTGTATATTTTGGATCCGATACAATATGATAATAAATTGGTTCGTATATGTGTGCTGCCAAAACTCCTAGAACTGTAATAATAATTACACGTTTGGCTATTATTGGCTTTTTAAACCATTGACCAGTTGGATATTTCGTCACGTAAACTCGTTCAATTGTTATAAAACTTGTTAACCAATAACTCATTCGTGTCAAACATGATAATAAATAAGTAATTATTTTACATAATATTGTGTCTAATAAATTATGAAAAATAAAACCATTTGCACTTAAGACAACATCCAGAATTTTCAATAATAATAATATTAATGACAATTGACTTATTATACTATTAACGAATAAATAGTAACGATTTTCAGATGAGCTGAAAAGCGAGCATCTTTTTATAGCAATCGACATTCACTTCCATTTTTGGTCAGTCGGTTACGTTATGTATGTTTGCTGTTAAGAATCAATGAAAAATCCAAACCTAGCATCTTTTTTACTAGAAAAGCTATTCATCGAGATGCACAAAATGATGTAAGCACCGTTATCGAGAAAATCTTGTACTTTCACGCAACTCCTCCAGTTTATACACAACATCAAGCCAGCAAGAACCAGCTACGCCTTTCTTCTTGAACACCTCGAATTGTGTATGCATCAAAATTATTTTTTCACTGCAAACTTTGGCGAGCTCGTGCTCGTAAGATTGGTCATTATGTCATGCAGATACCAGGGCAGCTCGTTGTTTATTTTAACAGTAAACTTTACATTTTTTCTGAAGTTCCCATTCGACAAAGAGCAAAAAGTTGTACTTACGATGAATGTTTCAAAGTTACTACTTTTAAGAACTTGACCTAGTACTACAATAGCATCCAGATGTTTTACTCATACATAAACTTCGGGTATTTTTTATTTACACAACCTCTCTTACATCTTTAACCTGCATTTGTCTTGCATCGACCGATCGATTCCTGTCCACATGCCGTTCGGTTCGTCTACGTCAACTCAGCAACATCAGAATCGCACATTGGGCTGTCGCACTGGCAGTTCTGGGATGGATTATCCATTTGTTACCGACACCGATCACACGTAACTTAATACGATCTCAACAAGGTAATATTACAAGGGTAACTTGTAAAGTTACTTCGCCAGGATATGTGGTCTATTTTGGATTTTTCTCGATTCTCTTTATTGGTTTGTTTCCCATAATAATCATGGCCTTATTTGGTTATCTGACGTATAGAAATTTTCGACAGCGACACGGACAATACGAACCGAGCACTAACACATCAGAATCATCAGCGACCAAGGCGATTAATCATCAACTCATCTCGATGTTATTATTTCAACTATGTTTCGACATTATTTCGTTACTTCCTTTTAGTGGCTATAACATTTATAACTCGTATGTGCAGCTAAACTATTCTCGACAAACATCATTGGAAATCGCTATTTATCGGTCAATGTGGTTACGTTTTATTTCTATTATGTCAACTTTACATCCAGCTTCTACATTTATTTTATCGTCTCAAAGGCATTTCGGAAGCAAGTGAAAGCTATATTTAGAGAATGACGCGCCACACATCCGTCTGTATGCTGTCTGTTTGTAGTATGACGCACTCTAATTACTTCCATAATTAGGGGCTCACCGTTTTCTGTTACTGTTACCTTCGTTAGTCGAGTGAATAACGAGTAAATGTTCCAGCATTATCATTACCGATAACGAGTGATGGCCGTTACTGGTATTGTAACGGGAAACGGTTAAATCAAATGCTAAAAATAATTTTCAAGTCTGCTGAATATGAATTCTGATTTAAAATGTTAACTGCGAGCATTATTCTTATATATAATTCATGATTCTTCTAATCCTATCAAGACATACACATCATATATTTTTCAACAATAAAGTAGACTCACTAGTTTTTCTGCCGTTCCTATCTTTTCTCATACATCAGTGCATGAGTCGTTTACAGTTCTCAGTAGGACTATTTATAACTTTTGATATACAACATAAATTTCTTTCAAAATTATATATATTACTATTGTAGTAGTCCAAAGTCACGGTAAGAAATTAAAAACAATTTCCTGTCTTTTTTAGTTAGAACAATTAAGAGACCGTGTTCCTTCGAATCAGCAGTTTGCTATAAAGCACTAAATATTATGCGCAGAAAAAGTGGATTCATAGTTAATCAACTATAGCGCATCCAATAGGTATATTCTCGGACGTCTGACGAGACAAGAACTTCAAGGCCCAAACCCCGTGAAGAACACTTTATCTTGTGTGTAAAAGATGTTATGTTTATTTTGATCTATTTTTATAACAAAGGTGATGGTTCTTCTTGTGAATCATGATGAAACAACACAGTGAAAAAAAAGGTAAGAAAAACCGTAAAATCCATAACCATCGAAAGAAAATCGTGTAGAAGAACCATGAAGTATAAAACTACATTGTGAAAACCGTAAAACGCAACCGTATAAAAGAAAAACTCTGGAAGTAAAGCCGTAAAGGTTAAAACCATAGGAACAAAACCGTCCACTTTCGAACCACCGAAGAAAAATCCTAAAATACAACTGTCAGTTTAAGAACTGTATAATTAAAACCATAAAAAACATCGTAAAGGTCAAACTGTAGGAATAAAATCATGAACTGACAGTTTGCCAAAGGAAAACAATGAAAATAAAGAGCGGGAAGAGGAAGACCCTGAAAGCGTTTTCATGCCTTTTAGTTGACGATTTTATCGAAGCTTCAAAATTCAATAAAACACCTGTAGTTTCAGCCACTGCCACGACAAAATGTCTTCCTAATCAACTAACATAAGTTTAATAGAGCAAATCTGGGGCTTTTGACAAATCCATCTCATATTCAGGATTATTCAACACAGGTAATAGTAAAACATGAAGACACCCACAGACACCTACTGGCCTCCTCCCTCGAAAACTACTCATCAGTTCTTCGACGTCTTGTTAGTCTCGCATACTACTCGACTAGTGCTACAAGACGCGCAAAGTATTGACTTTGGCCGGGTAGTTTTTCTTGTAGCGGTTTTCTAGAAATCCCGTCAACCTCCTACCATCTGCTTAAGGCCAAAATCATGTTGCGAATAATGTTTCTATGGGACGACAGAGATCCTTACATACCTTTAGTAGGATTATCGATTACATATAGTCAAACCTTCTCGGCTTTTAGCTCATGTAATACTGGGCGAACTTTACCCAATAACCAACAAAAAGTTTTTTAATATCCTGATCGGGATATAATTTCAAACTATATCCCGTTCGAGCTATTAGACAAAATCCTATGCACTTCTTATCTATTGTGTTAAACTATATTATTATAAGATAAGCTTCTTGACACGTCCTGTTGAATCGGCTCGCCATTGTATAGCAAGAAGTGCAAGTTCGCGATGTCTTCTTTGCGGGATCTTAGATGTCAGGCTCCTGCCAGGAATCAGGAGCAGGATCTTAACATTTAGGACTTGGCAGGACTTTTTTCTTAATAAAGAAGTCTAGTTAATCTCAGATTGAAGTAATAAGATATATGCGAGCTAGTCTTAAGTATGTTTTAGAGTTACAAAGGAAAACTTGGTAAGTTTTGGTCAAACTGAGGCTGTTCATACATTGCGAGAGCATATTTGTACAGTGCGCATACGATTATCATCAATAAAATACTACATCTTTAATACACCAGTAACCGATGTTTGATGGTTCTCTAGACATATTTGTATTTTTAGTCTCTGAAAGTAAATTTTAATTTGAGAAGTAGAAAGAAGTACGGATTATTTACGATTCCAATGCAAATTTCATGCACTCGGGGTCAAACTTTTACCTCGTAAACAAAAGTACCATCTCAGTTCATTTCTCTAAAACTCGAAGAAAACCGGCGGAAGTAGAACATTAAAACGACAAACACAACAAACTCTCGGCTTTAAGTTCAAATTTTGTAGCCAACTTTTTTACACTTATATAACCCACACGGCCGACGACGATGATATAAAAACACATTCATCATGTAACACATACAGGGTTCTGTATGCAAGATATATTAGATCCTTAGCGTACAACACATGTTTTTATAAAGTTCTATTCAGCTGCGCGCAAAAAGTTGGCTACGAAATTTGAACTTAAAGCCGAGAGCTTGTTGTGTTTGTCGTTTTAATGTTCTACTTCCGCCGGTTTTCTTCGAGTTTTAGAGAAATGAACTGAGATGGTACTTTTGTTTAGGAGGTAAAAGTTTGACTCCGAGAGCATGAAGAAACGGACACGAGAAGTTAAAAAAAGAGCTTTTTCACAACCACCGATGAACAACAAGATTTTAAGCTATTCAGTTCATGGCCGAGGTACAGCAAGAGAACTAAGGAAAATGTTAGAGGCGTACAAACGTACAGAAGAATGTACAGAAAGAGAACCAAAAGAAATGTTACAGACGTAGAAACGGACACGA